CAGACCTCATCCCTGCTGCTCTCAGTACAGCTGCTGAATTCTCCTCTAGTCACAGAATGGCACCTCTGCCCCTCAGTCCACACAGTGTCCAGTGCTCTGCAGCTCCTAGGTGTAATGTCTCCAGTGCAACCACCCACCAGCCAGATGTGGTGTTTCTCAGATTCAACTCCAATTCCAAGAAAAGACCATCTGCTCAGACACAGGATCAGGATTGTGCCTCTCTTGTCATATACGTTGGAGCTGAAGAGTGAGTCACACAGTTCATGGTAGCTTCCTGGAGGGGGGAATTATTGGCTCACAGGATAGGCAGCTTCATTTTGACTATTCCTCTCGACCAGATCTTGGGATAGAGAAGAAAATGTGTCTGAACACGCTGATACGTTAACTACAGCACGACAAAGGGCCCTAGTGGGAGATGTTAGAGAAGCTATAATTGCCATAAAGGGCACAAGGTTATCACTTAAGTCAAGAATGTGAGTAATCAGGAAGCAGACATTTATTATGGAACTAGGCTTGGGATAAATGAAAACCCACACCCTTATGTTTAAATATTTAAAGCTATAAAAAATGAAGCTAAAAAGCTATTAAAATTTATGTTCTATCCTCTTACCTTTGTGGTAAAATGGAAAAAAAAATCTGTACTGGGAATCGAACCCAGGGGCACCCTTATCACTAAGCTATCTCCTCAGCCCTTTTTTATTTTTTATTTTTGAGACAGAGCCTTTATAAATTGCTGTGGCCAGACTTCAACTTGGGATCCTCCTGCCTTAGTCTCCTGAGTGGCTGTGATTACAGGTGTCCCCACCATGCCCAGCTGAAATGGAAAATATTTTAAATCTGTGGTTTAGGTGATCAAAAGTAGGCAATAGAATTTAATTATTATTGTGCGGGCTAGGGATGTGGCTCAAGCAGTAGTGCACTCACCTGGCATGCGTGCAGCCCGGGTTTGATCCTCAGCACCACATACAAACAAAGATGTTGTGTCTGCAGAAAACTAAAAAATAACTAGTAAAAATTCTCTCTCTCTCTCTCTTTAAAAAAAAAATTTTTTATTGTGCATATCTGGGGGTTTAATTGATGGGCTGTTGATGTTTAGATGAGTAAGAACAACACACATACACGCATATGTAAAATTTATAAATGATTATATATTTATCCCACTCAGTTTAACTTCCTTGCTTTCATTTCAGCAACATCCATAATTATATTTTTATAATCAAGGTTTTTTTTCACATAACTCTAAAAATAGTTCTAGTCTAAAGCAAAAAGCCACAGCCCGTGGGCCACAGGCAGCCTGTGGCTTGTCTTTGAATGGCCCCTAGAGCTCTCAGAATGGGCTCTACAATGTTTTAACAATAACATAAGACAGCTTATGTGGCTCAGAAAGCCTAAAATATTTATTATCTGGTCCCTTACAAAAATGTTTCCTGACCCCCTAACCAAAAGCAAGGCTACTCAAAGTGTGGCCACTGGTATGATCTCTGAGCTGTGAAGCTGAATGACAGTAGGGAATATGTTCCAAGACCCCAGGGGATGCCAGAAACCATGGTTAATACCAAATCCTTCATATACTATGCTTTTTCTTATGCATAAATATCTATAATAAAGTTTAATTTATTAATAGAACTCAGAAAGAGATTAACAATGATAGCTAGTAATAAAATAGAACAGTTATAATGACATACTGTAATAAAAGTAAATGTGCTTTCTAAGTATCTTAATTTCTCACTGCTCTTAGCAATTATTTTCAGACCGCAAGTAAACATAGAAAGCAAAAACTCCGATAAGGAGCCCACCATACATCCGTAAGCACGTAAGCACAACTCTTAGTTGAGCTGAAGTTTTTTCATGGAAGACTTTCTTGATGAAGGAAGCTATATACTAATTAATTCAGACAAGGGTTTCTTATCTCCTGTGGACCAGCACTGAGCAATAATTATCTAAGGAATTAAAAAAATTAAGTGTAACTATGGTCCTAAGTCTACAGAATTGACCTCGAGGGTTAATTGAAGCAACTCTAGGAAATTTAGAACTTAGCATTCCTTTTCACATTTTTAGAAATTATTTTTCTTCTAGAATATTCAAAGTTATCCATTAAAAGAATTTACAATGAACAAATATCACATTTAAAAATCTAAATTACTTGAAGCCAGGTGCAGTGGTACACGCCTGTAATCCTAGCGGCTCAGGAGGCTGAGGCAGGAGGATTATGAGTTCAAAGCCAGTTTCAGCAAAATCGAGGCACTAAGCAATTCAGTGAGACTCTGAATCTAAATGAAATACAAAATAGGACTAGGGATGTGGCTCAGTGGTCGAGTGCCCCTGAGTTAAATCCCCAGTTACACCCCCCAAATTACTTGAATAACATCTTAAATATACTTAAAAAGAATATTATTAAAATATTTTTTATAAAAATAAGATTATTGTAATTTTACCTTGTAGAAGAAAATCTAAGGCACAACAAAAATTTAAAGTTTATTTGAAGAAGAGGCAATTCACATAATCATATGTTCGTTGGCTGCTTGTGTAAGGGTCTGGCAGAGCGTTGAAGGGAGAGACCAAACAAGAGACCAGCTTCATGCAATTGCAGGGGGAAGTTTTATTGAACCAGCATGCTGGGGCTCAAGGCTCACTCAGGAAGGGAGAGCAGCCCAGAGCCCAGAACAGAGGTCAAGCAGAGCTTAAGTACACTTTTTGGAGAGGGTGGGGGGCTTTGCATACATCAGAACAAATCATCTTGAGGCGCGGGAAAATTGAACAACAACCCTGAGCCATGATTAGTACATTAATTGGCGGGAACAGTCTGGGCAGGGGAACACATTTAAACTGATTGGTTTTGTGGCCTGGATGCTTACGTCTGAGCTATTTGGAGCCCTTAGCTAATAAACAACCAGGAAATCAATGGAAATATTTACTGGGCAGTTCAGGTATTGTTCTAACAGCTACAGAGATTATAGGTTCTGGGGGTAGCAGAGGAATTTTAACAATACCTGGCCTATTATTATTATTTTTAGCCCAAGTCTTTCAATTTAGAAACCTTACAATCCCCAGTCTTTTACACTTTAACTCAGACTCTTGCAGCTTAGAAATTTTTCCTTTACACTTGTGGTTAGCCAAGGTTAAGTTTTGTTTCTGTCTAATGTAAGCATTTACCAGAAATGACAGAAGTTTCACTTGTATTTTGCAGTGTAAGCAGCATTATGGCCGTCTTTAAGATCCAGTCGGTTTTGTTTGTGCAGGAATTCTTCAGGCCTGGTATCCTGCTTGAATAGCATTCAACAACTATCTGATTGCCAGTCGAGTTTGGTGTCATACCTCATGAATGATACATCTATACCTACACACACTCATAGTCCTTACCCACCAGCTGGTGCATCAATGTGCATCTTATTAGGAGTTGTTTTTTGGCAGCCCTAACTACCAGGTCCACTGCCACCTGAACCAGGCAACAAACTCCTCAAGTCAAGGCTGCTGGTCATTCACTTTTTTGGAGTCCACAAGATAGAACCAAATAAAAAAGATGTGTGGATGATGGTGAAACTGGATATGATGTTTCTTTCTTTCTTTTAACATTCTTTTTAGATATACATGACAGTAGAGTGTATTTTGACATATTATACATACATGGAGTGTAACTCCCATTCTTGTGGTTGTACAGCATGTGGAGTTACGCTGGTTGTGTATTCACATATGGACATAAGAGAGTATGTCTGGGGCTGGGGATGTGGCTCAAGCGGTAGCGCGCTGGCCTGGCATGCGTGTGGCCGGGTTCCATCCTCAGCACCACATACCAACAAAGATGTTGTGTCCGCCGAGAACTAAAAAATAAATATTAAAAATTCTCTCTCTCTCT